ACATAATTAGAAGGAAAAACAAAGGATTTTCCATTGTTAAGTTTCCCACTTGGACTGGCGCACCATTGCAACCTGGTCCTTAGCACACACGACCGCCTAGGCACGACTTGTGGGAGAAGACGAGACTCAAATCGGGTTCTCGATTTGGAAGTTAGAGCCGGATTTCACTCTAGGCAAACTAGTTCCTTAAGAAACTTAGAATTCGAGGTGTTGACGCCCTAAAATCACCAAACGATGTCAAATTAGCATGAAATATGGCACACACGACCGCCTAGGCACGAGAGACTTGTGGGAGAAGATGGGGCTCAAATCGGGTTCCCGGTTTAGGAGTTAGAGCCGAATTTCACTCTAGGCAAACTAGTTCCTTAAGAAACTTAGAATTTGAGGTGTTGAGGCCTCAAACTACCAAACGGTGTCGGATTAGCAGGAAACTTGGAACACATGACCGCCTAGGCACGAGAGACTTGTGGGAGAAGATGAGATTCAAATCGGGTTCCCAATTTGAGAGTTAGAGTCGGATTTCACTCTAGGCAAACTAGTTCCTTAAAAAACTTAGCATTCAAGGTGTTGACGCCCCAAAATCACCAAACGGCATCGGATTAGCACGAAACTTGGCACACACGGCCACCTTGGCACGAGAGACTTGTGGGAAATGACGAGACTCGAATCGGGTTCTCGATTTGAGAGTTAGAGCCAGATTTCAGTCTAGGCAAACTAATTCCTTAAAAAACTTAGAATTTGAGGTGTTGACACCCGAAAATACCAAACAGCGTTGGAGTAGCACGAAACTTGGCACACACGACTGCCTAGGCACAAGAGACTTGTGGGAGAAGACGGGACTCGAATCGGGTTCCCGGTTTGAGAGTTAGAGCCAGATTTTGGTCTATGCAAAATTATTTACTTAATTATCTTTGTAATTGTATAGTAGTTCAATTTTTATGTTTTTTTGTAATTAACATATTAACACTAATTATATTGTCATTAATTATTTTTATTTTTTGTCCTCAGATATTTCCCAAGTAAGAGTTTGCTTCTTGTGGAATGCATGCCTGTGAAGAATGCGACTAACTTTTGTTTTTGTTACCCACGGAGAATGATGAGGAAAACTTTTGTTTTTGGTTTATGTTTTTTTGAATTGTGAACAACATAAGTGTTTAAGCATTATATATGTATTACGCAACATTGTGTAGTGAGGTAATTTTGCTGATGTGTAGTTATGAATGCAAGAATATTTTTATTAGGGAGAAATTATTATTTCTATACAGGAATTTTTATATTATTATACAATTATTGGTTTCTTTTTCAATTATTTTTCATTTAATACAAATAATTTTAATATTTTTTTTTGTGACGGCACCACACCGTCGTAAAAAAATTAGAACCAAAATGTATTTTTTTTGCGACATAGGCAATGTCGTTGCAAAAGACATTGGCGACAGCACGTATCCCGTCGCAATAAAAATAACATTTCGCGATGGTATTTTTTGTCGTCTCAAATAACACTTTTAGCGACAATATAACAGTGCCGTCACAAAAGGTCTCAATTTTTTACCTATTATAGGCGATAGTAAAATACTGTCGCAAAAGGCAACATTTGTCGTCGCAAAAAAATGGCGACAGCATAACGTTTTAGCAACACCCTTTGTTGTGACCCCCCATTTGCCGTCGCTAAAAGTTTTTTGAGACAGCATTAGGATTATTAGCGACGACATTTTGCCGTCGCAAAAAACTAAAATTTTTGTAGTGTATTATGTTATAATTAGTTGGTAGTATCATGCGAACACAATCACGTGATATCAACGTTACGCTTAAATTTTACTTTATGTTTTGGTAAAAAAGAGGTTCCTCCAATTCAGGTTAAAGGAAAGCTTATTCGGATTATAAAAAAAATTTAAAAAAAAAATTATGTATATCATTATTTAATGACAAAAATAGAAAACAAAAAATTAAAAAAAAAATTCTAACAAGAAGAACTGCTTTATTAGAAAAACATAAATTACAATTATGAGACACAATGACAAATCAAACTACTAGTCCTTCCCCAAACCCCCTGGCCACTACAACAAAAACACACTTTAGTGGCACTATACTAGTGTCACGACCCCAAACCGTCCCTAGTAGGATGGTGCCATGATGGCCAGTAATCCGAGATTACCGAAGGCCAACTTTCAAAATTCACACGCAAACAGAGTATAAATATATGGGGCTCACAAGTACGGAAGCAATACATGCAAATTAGATTAGTCCATGAGAGCTGTGCGTAAGTCAAATGAAATGGCAAACATCTTCACATGGGTTACAACTTAGTACAAATGAAGTAAAGTACTTAATACATCTTGATCAAAAGGCTTCTCAAGCCGACGTGTGCAAAATACAAATATTACAAGTCGAGAAGCATGATTTTCAAGACTGCCGACATAAATACCAAAATAAAGCCGACATAAGCACGGATCCAAAACAAGCTTTC